CATGAACCTATCGGTGCAAGGCCTTGAATGCGAGCAAGATTGAGATCGCCTCGGGAGTGCGGCCCCCGTAATCAATAAATGGGGCGGGGGCTACGTGCGTGGGGGTTCCATTGTTGTGTTCAAATCCAACAAATTAGGAGAAGAAAAAAGAAATCTGGATGACTGTGGATGGCAAGAAGACTGTTCTTCAATAGCAGCGGGGAAAGTAGGACACTCGCGAAGCTGGACACAGAGATGAACCAAGGTGGCGAGCCCACGTGCACGGGGAGTAAGACGTCGAGGGAGCGTGAGAAATGCCAATCCCCATGTCACCGAAGTAGGTCACCCAGAAGGGAAAAACAGTAATGAGGTAACTTCCTTTGTTCGAGAGGTGAAACCAGTGCGATAACGCGCTCGTTGATTTTTTTGGTTTTTGTTGGGAACAAACCAACGACAGAGGCGGATTCCATCATCCGCGACCCAAATGTAGCAGTCAAGTTTGTGCGACAGATTTTTCCGCCAGAAGTTCAACAGTCCATGGTCGACCGGGCTGATTATGAAGTTTTCTGGGAGGGCATTCATGGAGCAGTAAAGGGTTTGTACACCTCCTATGAAATCGGCATGCATCTGCGTGCTGCACGAAGAGAGATAGAGCAAAGGGATGCTCACATTCAGAGCTTGCAAGCCCGTGTGGAGAAGGCCGAAAATGAGTTGAAGAAAACTAGCACCTCTGAGACTCATTCAGTGAGTCAAGTGAATCCAATTGTCGCGGAGCGAGTAAATCGTCGAATTTTGGATCACGCGATCGCCGAACGAGACACGGCCAATATGTTTGCAATTGAATCGGTGAAGGCTAGGTCCTACGAAAAAGGCTTCCATGACGGCCGAAAAATTAGAATAGAAAAGACGAAGGAAAAACTAGCCAAAGAGGTCTGTCGATGCAAAAATCGTGGATTTAAGCATGGATAGACCAAGGCACTCCAGGCCGCGGGCGTTGATCTGGCGTCACCCTTATATCAGAGTTATACTTTTTCGTTCGAGGCTTTCGAAGCCGAGAAGACTGACGACGAGGGCGGCGCCGAATAATTTTGATGTACTATTATTATTATTATTATTATTATTTTTAAAATGTAAAGCATGTACTTATGGTCTATTGAATAAAACATATTATTCTGAATGTTGATATGTTATTTCGATCACTGCTTGCAGATTAAGTTGTCTACTACTTCACGTCGATCACAATATCCATGAAAGGAGCTCCAGATTCGAAGGCTTATTTGGCCTAAACGTGTCATTCACGAAGGGCGCTCTGAATTCGGAGGCTTATTCGGCCCAAACGTGTCATTCGCGCAAGGCGCTTCGAATTCGGAGACTTATTCGGCCCAAATGTGTCATTCACACATGGCGCTTCAAATTCGGAGGCTTCTTTGTGTTGGCCCAAACGTGTGATTCGTGAAGGGCGCTCCGAATTCAAAGGCTTATTCGGCCCAAACATGTCATTCAAGTCGGGCGCTCCAAATTTGGAGGCTTGTTCGGCCCAAACGTGTCATTCACGTAGGATGCTCCGAATTCGGAGGCTTATTTGTGTTGGCCCAAACGTGTGATTCGTGAAGGGTGCTCTGAATTCAGAGACTTATTCGGCCAAACGTGTCATTCACGTAAGGTGCTCCGAATTCGGAGGCTTCTTTGTGTTTGCCCAAACATTACCTTAAATTAACAACCACAACTCATTGGGCAAGAGAACATTGTATTGAAAAAAGAAAGATATACATGGCGTAAAATCAAAACAAGCTGTCGTGCCGTACAAGTTGACTTAATGATAAAATTTGTGCAAGTGTGTGGAATTCCACGGACGTGGCAAGCTTCTTCCATCCATGTCTTTGAGCCGATATGCCCCTGTCCCTGTGATTGAGTCAATCTGATAGGGGCCGTCCCAGTTAGGACCCAATTTTCCGTCAGCCGGATTCCTCGTAGTGGGAAGTAGTTTCTTGAGGACCAATTCTCCTGGTGTATAGCGGCGTAGCTGAACACATTGATTATATGACTTAGCGAGCTGTTGTTGATATCGTGCTATGGATGCAAGGGCTCGGTCTCGACGTTCTTCAATCAGAGTCTCCAAGGCCAACATCATGTCATATCGGCCCATGTCAAAAACCTTCGATTTCAAGGTTGGGAGGCCGATCTCCAGGGGAATGATTGCCTGGGTTCTGAAGCATAGAGCAAACGGTGTTTCCCCAGTGGATCACCTCGGAGTAGTGTGATGGGCCCACAGCACACTGGGCAACCCTTCGACCCATCTGCCTTTAGCTTTCTCCAACCTCTTCTTGATGTCGTCCAAAATAACCTTATTGGTGGCCTCCGCTTGACCATTGCTTTGGGCGTAATCCGACGAGGAAAAGTAGGGCCGGATACCATAAGTGTTGCACAATTCTCGATACACGCCACAGTCAAACTGGGTACTGTTGTCAGAAACAAGTGCTTGTGGTATGCCGAACCTTGTTATGATGTTTTTCCATACAAAATGCTTAACATCAGAATCTCGAATATGTGTTAGTGCCTCCGCCTTGACCCATTTTGTGAAATAATCCGTCGCAACAATTAGGAATTGCCTGTTGCTTGGGGCCCGTGGTAATGGTCCAACGATATCATGCCCCCATTGAACGAATGGCCAAGGACTAGTGATAGAATTTAACTCCTCGGCTGGCAGATTAGTTAAGGGGGAAAACTTCTAGCATTGACCATGCTTCTTGACATAACACTCGGCATCGGTTTGCATGGTCAGCCAATAGTACCCCTGCGATACAGCACAATGAGCCAGAGAACGTCAGCCCGAATGGGTACCACAACTACCTTCATGTATTTCAGACAAAAGTTTCTTCACTTTATCCGGGGGAACACACTCTAAGTACGGCCCGGAGAGAGACTTTTTGTAGAGCTTCCCTTGTGGATCCAAATAGTATTGGAGGGCCCTGTTTTGCAGTTTGTGTGCTTCTTTCTTATCCATCGGAAGCTGCTCTAAGATAGAAATGTGGCGATAGGGTCCATCCAACTCGGCCTAGGTTCGATAATGTTGCCCTAAACTGATTTTGAAGAGGCAATGCTCGGCTCGGGGATGAACCCTACTTCGATTGTCTGCTTAATTTCTGAGTTGATAGTAGAGGCTAAGCAAGCCAGGGCATCTACATGCGTGTTCTGATCCCGGGTTATTTGATTCAGTTCGTAGTGATCAAATTTTGCGAGCAAAGAATTCGCCGTTTTCATATAGGCTGCCATGTGGTCATTTTTGGCTGCATATTCCCCTTTCAACTGGTTAATTACTAGCTTTGAGTCACAGAAAACAAGCAAATGCCGCGCACCGAGGTGATGTGCATTTCGCAGGTCGGTCAACAGTGCTTCATATTCAGCCTCATTGTTCAATGCGTCGAATCCCAATTTGACAGCCTATTCGATTATTGCCCCTTCGGGGGTCATGATTACTACACCAGCCTCACTGCCACGCTGGTTGGATGACCCATTGCAATACATCTGCCAAATGTCGCCAACATACACTCTCTAGTTAGGCTTAGTTTGCACTTAATCAGACTTAAAGTCGGCGAGGGATCCCGTGAACTCGGCTATAAAGTCGGCAAGCACTTGCCCTTTGATAGGAGTTCTGGGTTGAAACTGGATATCATACTAGATGAGTTCAAGAGCCCATTTCGAGACGCACCCCGACACTTCTGCGTTGTGGAGCGCTGACCGGAGGGGATATTCTGTTGGTACCCCAATGGTATGCCCCTGAAAGTAATGCATCAGTTTTCTTGCAGCCATGACGAGAGCAATGATAAGCTTTTCTAATGGAAGGTAACGTGTTTCGACGTCGGCCATAGCTTTGCTCACATAGTAAATTGGTCGCTGCTCCCCAAGTTCTTCCCTTAACAATACGGCGCTGACTGCCTGGTCGGATACTGCCAGATACAAAATGAGTGGATCGCCGACCTTAGGTGTTGCCAAAAGTGGTACTGATTGGAGATAAGACTTCAGGCCGTCCAAAGCAGCCTGGCACTTGGGAGTCCAATTAAATGCTCTGCATTGTTGAAGTGTGTGAAAGAATTATTGGCAACGATCTGTGGAACAGCTGATGAACCTGTTGAGCGTGACGGCCATCCTCATTAGCTTTTGAACCTCTTTGACTGACCGAGGGGACCCAAGCTGTAGAATTGCCTCGGATTGGCTTTGATTCCGCGGTGGTTAACGATGTAGCCAAGGAATTTACCGGATCCAATGCCGAATGCACACTTAGACGTGTTCAATTTCATCTTGTATTTTCGAAGGATGCCGAATGTTTCTAACAAATCGGCTAAATGGGAGTACTTTTCCTTGGATTTGACCACCATATCGTCGATGTATACTTCCATGGTACAGCCGAGTTGTTCCTTGAACATGGAGGTCACTAGCCTTTGATAAGTTGCCCCCGCATTCTTCAGCCTAAATGGCATGACCTTGTAGCAATAGGTTCCTCTTGGGGTGAGGAATGCGATTTTTTCTTGATCCTTCGGATGCATGGCAATTTGATGATGGCCTCTGTAGGCATCCAAGAAACTCATGCATTGATGATGTGTTGTTGTATCTACGAGATGGTCTATTCTGGGCAAGGGAAACAGTCCTTGGGACAAGCTTTGTTCAAGTCTGTAAAATCCACACAGACAAGAGCCATTTTTCTTCTTTACTACCACAGTATTGGACAACCATGTAGGATAAGTTACTTTACGAACTGCCCCGGCATCAAGTAACCGATCTACTTCCTCAACGATGGCCGAGGCATGCTCCGCGGCTGACCGCTGGCTTCTTTGAATAATTGGCTTACATTTCGGATCAACGTTCAAGCAGTGTTGGGCCACTGATGGGTCTACTCCTAGCATCTCGTATGGGGACCATGCAAATACATCAATATTGCCGAGTAAGAAGGCTACCAACTCCTGCCATTCAACTTTATCTAAGGAAGTGTCGATCATGAAGAACTTGTCAGGATTTTCGTCAATTTAGACCCGATGCAGGGCTTCGATTGCTTTTTCACTTGGGATCCTCACAATATCTTCGAGGCTCTCCCTATTCGATACCTCAATTGAATGCACTTCCAGTTCCTTTGGTCTCTTTGTAGCTAGAAGATAGCATGCCTGTGCCGATTTCTGTGAGCTGCGAATTTGTTTGATACTATATTTAGCCGAAAAACGGAGCAGTTGGTGGTAGGTGCTTGGCACGGCTTGCATCGTATGTAACCAAGTTCTACCCATGATCAGATTATACGGCGAAGGGAGCTTGACAACCAGAAATTCTACGTCTATCGATCTGGTGTCGGCCCGTATTGGTAGTTTGATATTTTCCAAAGGATACTCCGGGTTAGCATTGAATTCGAATAACGGGTAATTAGTCGGAGACAGGTCTGAATCGGTGAAACCAAGTTTGACAAAAGTTTTATGATACATTATCTCTGAAGTGTTGCCATGGTCAATGAGAACACGCTCAATGGTGAATTTGTTTACACGTAGCTCAATGACGAGGGGATCAGTGTGGGGGTGGGTCACTCCAACTAAATCACTATCATCGAAGCTGATCCTTCTAGTGTCGTGTGGCCGTTTTGTTGGTGTCAAAGGGCTATGGGTGCTAGACGGCAACTAGATTGTGTGCACCTCGGGTGGCACTGACAAGCTGTATATCATATGAATTACACCAAGAGGAGGCGACTCCGACCGTAGAGCTACTATATTTGTTGAATTGTTCTTTCGTACGTATTGTGTAAGACGGTTGTCTTGCACCAATTCTTCAAGGTGATCCTTTAATGAATAACAACTATCGGTGTTGTGACCATGGTCTCTATGATACTCACACCGTTTATCCTTTCTTCTCGCATCAGGAGGTCCCGTCATCTTGGGTGGCCACTTGAAGTACGGAAGGTGTTGTACTTTCGATAGAATCTTCTTGATCGGCTCTAACAGCTCCGTGTATTTCTTGCATGAACGCCTTGTGTGCCTGTTATCCACTTGGTATTGTTCACTAGCTCGATGTGAACATTGGTCGATTGATCAGTGCGAATCATGCCTTTTGTCTCGTTTGGGCCAATTCTGCTGCTCGGGGCATGTTGACGGCATAGGGCTAATCGGCTGAACAACTCCCGACGTGGCCGTCTCAATGACTTAACGTCCGACTTTGACTCGAAGGGCATCGTCTTTCACTTTACAGTATCCTTCAACCTTCTTCATTAATGCCCATATGGTTTTGGGGGGGCGCTTGGTTAATGAACTGCGGAGGGGGCTATCAGGATACAATTCCATCTTAAAAGCAGTGATGACCATAGAATCATTGCAAGCATCATTTACCAGATTAAAGCATTCCCAACAGCGGGCCGAGTATTCACGAAGAGTTTCTTCTGGTTTAATTTGCATGGCCCAGAGAGAGTCGGCTTGCTTCGCTGGACCTCATTAGTGATGAATCTCGCCCTGAATGACTTTTGGAGTCGGTGGAAGCTCTTAATTGATGCCGGCTCCAATTTATAGTACCACCTCACGGCCAGTGGTCCCAGACTGCTTGGAAATATCCAACACATGAGGGCTTCGTAGTCAGCATGGAGCGTCATCGCTTGCTTGTAATGACGAATGTGATCAGTGGGGCCTGATTTTCCGTCGTAGAGGGTGAATGACGGTGCCTTGAACTTTTTGGGTAGCACAGCCCAAGCAATTCGTCGCACGAATGGGTCATGTTTATCTTCCTCATCCGAATCATCGTTTCTCGCTTCTCCTTTATCTATGCCGTACATATGGACTTCCTTCAAATGAGCTGGATGCATCAACGCGCCCTTTCTTTCTGGGGTCCGGGGATGGTGAGTCTGAATCACTATCATTATTGCGTTTCTGAAGTCGACGTCGGCGATCATCCTTCTTTCTCGAAGGTTGATCCCGGTCTTGGCATGCGGCTTGTTGGGATTTTGCCACCTCCAAGGCCAAATCCTGGCACAGGCACTCATTCTTAGCTATCATGTTCTCCAGCCACTGTTCACTTTGCTTTGCTTGATCCATAATTGTCTGCATTGTCTCATGCATTGAAGTTGAGGGTGAGGTCTGAGCTACTGAGTCAAAGTTCAAGGCATGTTGCACGGAGATATTCTTTGGTCCCAGCATGTTTCTTGGTGTAATTTCGTCAGCAACTATGGGAGGATCTTCCGTTACGCCCGCCATGGATGTACTTGAGTATTCCCACAGACTTCGCCAATTGTGAAGATGTGGTTTGGAAATACTTTTGGATCCTGAAGGACGTTCCTGATCCTCTGATTGCCACCTGAAAAAGGGATTAACACTCCGGTCGGGGGTGTCAGAATTAGCACTCCGACAGACAAGTTAGTATATGTCTCACGTTTGCTTATGTCATAAGTTTCTTAGGATTTTCTCTCACGTACCTTTCTTTGGTTGATGTTCCTCTATTTATATTCGCTTTTGGGCCTCAGGGTCGGGCCCACTCTTAATCCATCGTGCAATTGTTCACTCGGCCCCTTCTGTTGTATGCCAATTCCTACTTGGCTCCTTGCTTAACTGGTTCTATGGCTGTAAAATCCAAATTTTTATGTGTAGAATTATTTTTGGATAAAGTAGTAATTAAATTAATTTATATGGGTCATTTTAGTAACATCAAGTAATTAGTTATGAGGTGGTTTTTTTTAAAAATTTTTATTACTTAGATGGTTAAGTTTTTAATTTTGGGAGATTGGGCTATAGGCCCACTTGGGCTTTAGGTCTTGGAAACATAGAAGCACAAACAAATAGAGGTATTGACAATTTAGTGGCTGCTGCGGCAGATCTAGCAATAGAGAAAAAAAAAAAAAAGAGAGAAGAAGAAGAAGAAGAAAAGAAAAGAAAGAAGATTCATAGATTCGTAACTTTGATCTAATCATCCCTTGGAGGTAAGATTTGTTTTTATGGTACTCCTAACTATTTCTTTAGACATAGTATCTTATATGTGGATTGGGTGTATGTATTTTGGGGTTTTGGAATTTACTTGTAGACTATAGGATTAGATTATTACATTATAAAGAAAAGAATGATAGATGCATCATGGTGATCAATAATAATTGTTTATGTGGTATAATATTTTATTAGGTTTGTGAGATTGAGGTGGATCTTGGTAATTTGAGATTAGCTTGGGAAATATTATTTTAGCTGTTTGAGGTAAGTAACCCTCTATCACTGTTGGTTCATTTTTATTCCTATCGAATCGTTTAAAATCATAAATATTTATTCGTAGCCTTCATGTTCTCTTAAAATAAAATATGGGTCAAGTATAAAACAACATCGAATATTATTATAA